AAAGTAAATTGAGAAAATGTACTGGGAAGTAGTAAGATACCACTAGAATGCGCAACAAATCATTTCCAAGGCTAGATTTGAAGCCTGCAAATTAAGTGGCAGTACTGCTGTTCTTAGTCCTGCTGCAAACTAAGGGAACCTGAGATTTGAGAAGATACAAATAAAATTCAACACTAATCCAGTAGTATATCCATATGCTCAAGTCGAGAAAATGTATAAAAATAAACTTGAACAAGAAAACTTGCCAAGTTCAAATCCCTCATCCAGCATTTTGGTCAGAACCGCCACTCGGCATGAATTGAGGATTATGTGCAGGTAGAATGAATTGTGGTTGTTGCGGGATAGCACCTAATGCAAAACATATACATTAGTCTCAGAACCGCAAATTCTATGTGTATTTAATCTCAAAGAACCCAAAATTGAATTAATGAATGGCTACTTATATGCACCATAGATTGCCAAGAAAATAACTAGTCGCCATGCAAAGAATGATAGAGCTATCAAGAGAGATCGGTGTTACCAAGACACGTGTTTAATTTAATCTCAGTGAAATAATTGATTTATCAATCTCGCCCTATTAGTAAGCAGCAAAAATGGTCTAACCATGTTACCATATTAAAAGATGAGATCCTTCCATATCGAGAAAAATCATGATTGAAAAGATCTTAGCGTATTAATTGTCTGTTCTCTCTTTAAAAAGTTTGCCTGGGTACTTCATTACTCTTGATTCCATAGCCTGCCTTCACCAATTTCATCGCCTAAACATCTTAAATATATATGAGTTATACAATATAGACTCACACGTACATTTCAACCACACCGTGATTGTAAATAAGTATGCTTACAAAAAATCATAAACTTAAAATAAAACCATTCCAAAATCGCCAAACTAAAGAAAAAAAAAAAAAAGAGCAGACAGATAAACAGTGCTGGGTAAGGGAAACGAAGATAATTACTTGCAGGATATGGTGCTGGAATAGTTTGAAGAGATGATGTTGTTATTATATTGGCATTGGGCCCACCAAACTGCACTATTTGATGACCAGGTATTGCAAATCCTTGCAATGAAGGATACATGGTTGAGCCGATTGTTCCAGGCAAATTATACATCTGAAGGAATTGTTGACCTCCATATGGGTTGTAAACACCCTGCATTAGATGACAATAACAACAATAAAGTGTTAAAATGAGTTGAAAAAAAAAATGGAATGGAGAACATTCTCAAGTTTAGTAATAGTTGACCTGTGGCTGTGGATAAGCATATTCTGGACTGTAAGCAGTATGCCTGCTTCTGCAAGAGACAAAAAGATCGGTCAATTGAGTGGACATAAATAACTTGGCGATAATGTTAATTAATTCACTCAAAGAATAACCAACATTACAGAATTAAGAGTCTAATTATGAATAGTACATTCAATTTATCACCTTTTTGCAGTTGGTTCAAGGAATACTGGAAAAAAAAATGAAGGATTTCAACGGTGCTTGGTAGATTATTATCTTTCACAAAGCAAATACAGTACCCCAAAATATGATGATCCTTTCGAAAATGGACATCAAATTACTTCATTCACTATCATCACCTCATGTATCGTTATCGTATTCCTATTCCCAGAAGCTTATAACCACAAGATTTGTTAGTTGTTCTTCAGGAGCAATGAAATTACCATGATCATTGTAGAGAAAACTAGTTTCAGACTATTTCTAAAGAGCATTTCCAATTCTCTATCACATTCTAGTTCCAAGTGAAACTAAAGTACTCAATGTGTTTCACAACAATTCACTTTAAATCTACAATAACATTACGAAGAAAACCTACTGACGACCTTAACATAAGTTGCAGAGAAGCTTAATGCTAATTGACAATCCTTCTGAAAGACCCAAATCAATATTACCTTTATTTTCTCAAGATATACGAGCAACAACTTCACTAAAAAGACACAAGAATGAGAAAAAATAATATTATCTCAGTAAGTAATGATGCAATTGCCTAAGAAGACCAGAAGCATGGATGTCAATCCATGTAAATCAGTTTAATAATCAGCAAAAACCTGCCAACTCATACAAGTGACAAATAATTCATTAAAAAAAAAACCCCCAAAATGTTATATCACTGAATGTCACTCACCCATAAGGAGAATACATCAGGCCTTGTTGAAATCCATATGCTATTGGTTGTTGGAAGCCATAATTTCCAGGATAAGCACCCCTTACACCTCCAAGGTAAGGTGCCAGAGATCTAAGGCGTCCTGCAAGCAATAAACATAGGCACATACACGATATATTATCAGTTGACATAAAAACTAGAAACTCAACTCACATGCTGATGGTCTTCAATGCATTAAGCTAGAATATTATTTGTGAGGACTTCTACACATATGGATCAAATGCTAAAAACTTGACTCTGAAACAATGGTTCTTCAAAGTATGCAGAAGGCAAAACTATTAAAGGTACACAAATGTTGAGGAATAGGGCATTTCACAAACAAGGCCACCAACTCAAAGTTTTCTTTTCTGGAATACACTTCAGAAAGTTTATAAGCCCAATTGGAAGCATAAGCATAAATGTTCAATTGCAGGACCTTGCCCTGGGTAACTACCATTAAGAGGGATAAAAACTATTCCTGAACTACTCGATATCCAAAGGATAACAGGAAAAAAAATCCAATTATGCTATACAACATTTCAGAGGAAAATAAGTTGGGACGGATAACAAGGAAACAGTAAAGAAAAATAAAGTAAAGCCGAAAGTCCTAATCATCCAGAATATTTGAGATACAAATGAAAAAGAAAAGAAAAGAAAAGAAGGTGGAAAGTCTTAATCATCTAGAATATCTGAGATACAAATGGAGTATATTACCGAAAGGTATCGCTGGACGAGGTCTCCTGAGTGATGCCAAATTACAATTTGCACGTCTCCCATCAATAATAGGAGTCGGATCTGTGCACGCTCTTCGGGCTGATTCGGGGTCCCGGAAAGTCACCTAAAAACCCATACAAACACCATTAAGGACTCAAGTCATTAAACTGTCCACATTATATTACTTCAATCACAATAATTCAACAAAATTCCTATTTAATAACTCCAGAATTTATCAACACTTCGAAATCTCTCATGCTATAAATCAGAGTGTACAGTCACCAGCAATACTTCTAAACAGCAGAAAGAAAGAATGCATAGTCAACAGAAAGAAAATAAGGATTAAAGTTCTCAGTCAAGATAACAAGAACTCACAAACCCATATCCTTTGGATCGACCCGTATTTTTATCAGTGATGACCACAGCCTCAAGTATCTCCCCAAATTGCTCAAAATAATGTCTCAAGGTTGCATTCTGTGTCTCCCAAGCCAACCCTCCAACAAAAACTTTAGTGAAAGTAGTGTCCCCAAATGGAGAATACAAGAAATAGAGTCCGCCTGTACCGGAGCTTGGACTTGGCACAGGATACTGCTGCTGTTGCTGCTGGTAAGCCATAATCTTTAACTTCAACTAAATAAATAAAATAAAGTACCCTTTTTTTCTTTCTTTTTGTTTTTTGTGAGCTGCTTCTAACAGAAAAAACAGGAGAAAACACGGAATGAAATTAGATAACTATTTTTCAAAAAACACATCTTTAATAAATTAACCACGAAATGAGAAGAGGCGAATCAGGTGATGCTAAAGTCGATTCAATGCGCAAAAAGCGCCATTTTAGCAGGAGAATCTTTGAAGAACCCTAACTACGGCTGAAAGCGACTGGAAAAAGCCATAACAATAGCGACTCAAAAATGAAAATTCAACTGACCCACACTGCACACAGAGATCAAGAGAACACAAACAACAGAACCCATATCAAAACCAACAAAGAAAAATATGGAGAAGAAGAAAAAAAACCCTAAGTTTGAGGCGGAAAGAAAAGAAGAATAGAAGCAAATGGTAGTGGGTCAACACTGAAGAGCAAAAAGGGGAAGTGAGGTTTCGATCAGCTGTACAACAGGAGCAGAGGAAGGGCACTTGTGGTCGACAATGATGGGAGATAATTGATTAAAAAAAAAAGTTGAAACCCAACACGGATTCTTTTTTTCAAAACGCTGTTTTCCCCTTCAAAACTCCATTGATCACAGAAATACGAAAGGATAAAAAAGGGTAAAAATAAAATAAAATATACAACTTCTGACAAAAAGGGTTAAATAAGGTTAACTACAGGGATAGAGTTCAAGGAATAGTGAAAGCAAGGGTTTTTGGTTTGAAATTTTGGTCCGGTCGAGGGTGGTGATGATGGAGGGAGATGATCTTGAATAGGGTTACCATAATTTTTTCACCTTTTTCGTTCTTTTTCTGAATCAACTGATGGAAAGAGAAGATACAGAAGAAAGTTGGAATTGATTACGGGAAGAAGATATAGAGTGTGTGACGAAACGAAAAACAAAAAGGAAATGAAAATTGAAAATTGGTAGAATATGAACAATTGGAACAATTTACAGCTTGGAATGTGGCCATTTTTGTGGGCCATGTTCTTTCGTTTTATTCCATCATCAACTGTCTCGGTGTCTCCTGTGTGTGGCTTCAAAGTTCAAATTTTGTTCATGTAATTTTTACTATTATCTAATAGTGTTAATACCACTAAATGGCCATATAAATTTATAAAACATAAATTTTAGCCATATTTTGTAAAAAAGATGAATTTTAGCCATTTTGGCATGTGAAAATACCACCTTACCCTTCATCTCAATCTTTCATTTTGTACCGCAAATCAATTTCCTCCTCTTTTTTTCACCACAATCAAATTATCCACCAGAGAGAGGCAATCGTCCGTCACCTTCCCATCAAGCGACCCATCATCTTCATCCACATTCATCCCGTCGAGCGGTCCATCATCTTCATCCACCTTTATCCCGTCATCTTCATCCACCTTCGCTCGTCACAAGAGAGAAAGAGATGGCCCGCCATTGTTTCCTCATCACGAGCGACCCGGCCGGCAACCCCTTGAACCGATCTACGCCATTGTCTCCCTCAGCGAATCGTCCCCGCTGCTGCTCCTCTCCTACGAATCGACCTCCGCCGTCGTTTCCATCGCTGGTACTCTCCTTGAACTGATCTCCCTCGTTGAATTAGGGTTTCAAAATCAGAAATCCGTGAGAGGTTATTAGGGATGAATCGACCTCTCTCGTTTTCTCTTCCCTTGTTTGAGTGGTGTTCCAGACATGTAAATTTATTTTTGAATTTCACAGTTTAATTAATTGGTCGTGTCTGTGATTTGTTAGTAAAGATATTCGCAGATTCAAAACAAGACGAAAGAAATGGGTTTTCTTGATACAGTGAATGCTTGAAAAAATTATGTGCTTTGAGTAAAGCAATTGATCTTCTTGCAATTTGCTTCTTCCAGTGATGGTGTTAAATGTACTTTTAGTGTTTTCACTATGAAAAGCATATCATCTAAGGCTTTTAGGCAATTGATATTTGATTTGCCTTTTGATTCAATGTTTTGTTATTTGATTTGTTTTTCCTATCCTATAATGAAATGGATGTGTTGTTTTCTGTATCTGGCAAATGATGATAAAATAGACAGGTACATCAAAGCTCCTCTAGGACAAAAGGATGGCTTAGCCTAATAGAAATCTCTCTCATGCTAATTTTCAGATTAATTCTTAACGCGTGCTAGTTTATCAGTGCTTCCCTCAAATGGCTTCCCTCTGAAACATTCTAGCCACCTTCAGCGGCGCCGAGGCCATGCCCGCAGGAGAACTTGTAATGCGGAGAGGAAGTATCTTCAGTGGTAATGTCCGCTTACAAGTCCCTTCCTAAGAAAGGGAAGCCTCAAGGCCGCGAAGTCACTGTTAGTAGCTTCAGAATTATCACTTCGATTATCCAGATACCATTATTGCAACACTTGACACCGGTAAAGTTAAAATCAAATAAAATAAAAATCCAATCTTATTTTCCAGTGTTACTTTTCATGGTCTATTATGATCGCAATTAGTTTTTTTTTTTACCTGGCTTGATAAATATCTAACACTTGGGTATCTGGCCTGAATCCAAGAGCTTTAGCGACGATGGGATTGGTCCCATTCCTTCCAAGTGGAAAGGAATCTGTCAATTCAAAGGCAATAAGCAACACCTTTGCAATAGGTACTTAACATCGACTGTAATTCGTATATAAATTATGTGATTTTCATGATTTATGATACTAAATTATCTATCTATTGTGTTGCAAAAATTCTTGTTTTATGTTTCATGTCATATATATATCCAAATACTGCAACACTAATTCAAGAAAAGTTAATTAGTATTGATATCATTCAAGTTGTATTCCAGATTAGGAATATTCCCTAATGATTAATGACTAGGAAGTAGAACAGTAACAAGAACAAGAGCAATTGGTTTATATCACAGTTCACCCAAAAGGCATAACATATAGGCACCCTTCAAAAAGAAAATGTTTGGTCAATATATTTTATATAGCAAATCTATCAAAAGGTGTTTCCTCTTTATTAGAATCTTGAATCGTGCTTGGTTTCTGAGTATTCTTTTTACCTCATCCACATATGTTTTGTTTGCTTATATATATTCTTCCAATATCAGTCACATGTATTATTATTATAATATTATTATTATTATTATTATTATTATTATTATTATTATTATTATTATTATATTGTGACATTCTTGATTNTTAGGGTTAGTGTTAGTGTTGTTGTTGATTTGAAGTTGATGGATGTGTTGTGCAAAAAACTGATTGGGGCCAGGTACTACAACAAGGCTTATCAAGCCTCTCAACTCGTCGTTCCACAATGCACGATACTCGGAGGGCCACTGTGTTGTCTGGGGCCTCCATGTCTTGTCCCCATGTTTCAGGTGTTGTGGGCCTGCTCAAGGTTTATATATATGTTTAAAGGAAAAGTAAGTTTAATTTTCAGTAATATTATCCTACTGTTAAGAATATTTGTATGTACCAGGAGATTGCAATTGGCCCAAGAAGTCAATTGACTCAATTCAATTGAACATTTTGGATTCCTTTTGTTATTCGAACAGAAATCATTTTTGGGATCCAAAAACCATTTCTGGGATATTTTAAAGATTTCTGGGATCCCAAAAACGATTTATGTTTCTGATTTCTACCCAGAAACGATTTCTGGGGTCCTAAAAACATTTCTGGGATCCATAAATCATTTCTGGGATCTCAGAAATAATTTCTGGTACCAAAAATGATTTTCGGATCCAGCAATTGGGGTAGGTGGTGAACCTTTTAAATAAAAAAAAGTAGCAACTTGAGTAAAGTCGCCGAGCAAGCACATTTTACTCTTTTCTTTAATCAGGTGAACTAATATGATTAAGTCTAAAAAGTAAAACCCGTTTGAAATTTTGGATGGAAATTGAGTATCACGATCTATTGTCGGACTTCAGGGTCGTTGTTGTGCAGGTTCTCATACTTTCGTCCACGAACGTATATACAACGAATTTATTGAGAAGGCTAAAGCGCGTGCGGTCAAATGTACAGTGGGTGACCTGTTGAAGACAGGAATCGAGCAGGGTCCACAGATGCTTAAGTTTAACAAGAAACAATTTTTTCCCTTTAAATTAATCATTGATAAAGCATGATTTTTATTTATTGATATTGATCAATCTGAGCAAATTGAGAGGATATTCAAGTACATAAAAGCGTGGGTCGACAGCAATGCCACCGTGGAATGTGGAGGCAAAAAGATTGGAGATAAAGGCTACTTTATACAGCCCACCGTTCTTTTGAATGTTTAGGTACTCCTGCGAGACTCCATTTGTTCGTCCAATAATGTTTGAAATCACTAATGTAAGATAACTGGGTGATGTCACCTATGTGATGTTGCCTATGAGATGGCGAAATATTATGATGGTTTATGTCTTATGTCGTTATCATATTATCTGCGAATTATTCACTTATATTGTCTTATATCTCGATGCAGTCTTTGGCGCTGGCTCGTGTTGATATTGATCATGGGAAGGTCGTGTTTGTCCCGTGGGTCAAAATAGATTTCAGAACTAGTGACAACCCATGGTGGTTGTCGAACTCTTGAATTTTAATTTGATAGTTTGTTGTATATTCACATCGACGCATAAAAAATCTGTTGTTATAGACAATTCAAAATATAATCCTGTTGTTTAACACACTTTTAGGTATATCAAAATCTAGTTTTATGTATGAAAAATGAAACATTTTTTTTTTTTCTTTTTCAATTTTGGATTTGATGAGATTCAGAAATCAAAATTGTCAGTACTCCTTTTGAGTTGGATATGTTGGGGACGGTTCGAACTTTGACCCGTTCGAGAGCTTAATTTAGGTCACATTGAATGTGCAAGCAATGTATGATAATTAGAAGAAAATTCGTATATTGTCAACTGTTATAGAATGCCAATTGCCATCAAATGTAATGAGACTTGCTATATTGAGTAATATTTTTGGCAAATACTTGTAAAATTTTGCCTAAATTAATGTACATAATCATTTTTTTAATGAAAAAATGAAAATGCAACAATATTGTGTGCCTGTGTTGTTTGTTTTGTTTTAGTTCTGCTTTATTATTGCCCCCTCATGTTAAACACTAAACGTGCTTATCATATCGTGTAGTTAATGAGGCAAGCTCAGAAGCTCGAGTATCAGGTCGAGATTGGCTTGACTTGTTTAATGATCGCTGCATCGATGTATCTACAATTTTGTCACATTGTTTGCTTACACGGACACTGGTGACGATTATCTATATATTGTGAGTTGAGGTTTATATATTATTAAAATTTTGAAAAAAAAAAATATCATACAAATATTTATACAATATTGTAAGGTCAGTGAGAGGAAGACACAAACACGTATCGTGGTAATCAAGAAGTAAGATCGATATTCACACGTGTGTTTATCTCCACAAACAATGTCATGAACTCTATTTAAAAAGTCTTCATACGACAAACTTCTCAAACGCATAATGTTCATCTCTGCCTGTCCATTTTTATAGACATTCTCATACCAAAATCCACTATGCACAATTCCAACCTTTTAACCCGACATCTATAAAAAAAGATACAAAAGTATTTTAGTGACAACAATGTCAAAAAAACATGTCTTATATATGATTCAATGACTTATATAATAAAACAAATAAAATTTGAATTAGAATCGAATTTTGGGATCGATTTCTTGTACCAGATATCATTCTGGGATCTAAAAATAATTTCAAAAATCATTTTTGGGATTTCTGGGGTCCAAAAATCGTTTCTGGGGTACAAAAATCGTTTATGGAATTTCTTGCATTTCTGGGGTCCATAAATCGATTTCTGGTCCCAGAAATCCAAGAATGATTTCTAGGACCAGAAATCATTTCTGGGATCGGAAATCGATTTCTGGAACCAAAAATCATTTCTCATATTTCTTGGATTTCTGGGACTCACAGAAATCGATTTCTAGTCCCAGAAATCAATTTCTGGTGATCAGAAATCGATTTCTCATCCCAGAAATCCATTTCTGGAACTAGAAATCATTTATTGGAATTCTGAGATTTCTGTGACCAGAAACCATTTCTGGGACCAGAAATCGATTTCTGAGACCGAAAATTGATTTCTGGTCCCAGAAATCGTTTTTGTTTTTATTTTTTATTTTTTTGAAAAAATAGGTAGTAAGGGTATTTTTGTCTTTTCAGGTGCCAAAATGGCTAAAAAGAGTGTTGTTTGCAAAATGTGGCTAAAATTTGTGTTAGCCATTTGTATATGGCTAAAAAAAAAAATTCACTGTATCTAATAACATCCACATGGAATAAATTTTGGAAGTTTATATTTATTAGGGCGTGCTTGGACAAATATATCATATGTTGGTATTATGACATACTTTATTAAATAAATCAAATGTTTGATCTTGGGACATCTAGGTAGATCTAAAAGATTTTATGTGAATTATCATGGTCCAATCAAATCGCGTCTTACGATTTTTAAATTTGGTAGAGTTATTTCTCCTACATCTATAAATAGGGGCTCTCCCTAAAGCTAAAAACACACATCATAATTCATATTTAAATTCAAGAGGTCTAAGAATTATCTCGACGAGATTCAAGTGTTTTTGAAGATTCACAGACGTTCTTGAAGATTCAAAGCAAGATTCAAACACGTTCAACCTCAAGACTGACGTTCAATCCGGAAACAAGTTACGAAGCCTCCGAATAACGTTAGTAAATTCAAAACCGGCGTGGAGAAGATTCAAGATCTACTTTGCAACGAAGACCAATGATTCGTGTTCTTGGGATATATAGACGTTTGATCCGAAATCAAGGCGTTGGCCCTCGGATTAACGTTAATTCAAGTCAAATCAAGTCAATGAGAAGATCAAGCCGAAGATTTCGCTCCAAGACTCAAAATCGTTCGTGAAAAGAATCAGATGATAAAATAAAGATTGTAACTCGCTATATTTATTTGATTCGTGAAGTTCATTTGAATAATATTTTTCTTGTTTATAAATTCAATACACGAAATTTGTTGTTACAAAAACATATGCACACGATCACATTAATATTATATTTTACTATAATTATGGTATTGCAATTGCAATTAATTAAATAATTATTTGATTGTTTATAATTTATTAATTAATTGCTCCCTTAAGTTAATACTATCATTAACAGAGTAAGATATTAATTGATAAAGTATAACTCTCAAATCACTCGATTGATCATTAATAAAGGGATATTAATGATACGTGAAAGATTGACATGTGGTCTGCATCATATTCTTGAATAATATAGTATGTCTCAAATAACTGTTATTTGTGATGAACACATGGATACTTTGGAAAGTATAGATATACCCTACTAATAAACCATTTGTTTATGTGTTTATAGAAATATCGGTGTGTGGGATGGTGTAATAGTCATTTGACTTGAGGTCAATACACAATTCATGTTAGAGTAATTTACTTAGACTTAATCCAACGTTTACACTCCTTTTGAGGTAGATACGGATTTGTGTTGGGTGGATCATAATATACATGAAATTGGTAATTGAGCCAAGATATGATTCATTCCTTGAATATAGTTTCGAGAGAACATTCATTTTCTCTATACTGAGTTGATAAAGCCATTAGTCAATGCACGTGATTATATTTGAAGTGGTGTTCAAATATAATTAATTAAAATCAACCAGTAAGATGATATAAAATGATTAAGCTGTTTGGATAGACACACGTTCAAGTCCAAGCTTAATCGAGTGGTTCGTGAATAAAAGGTTGTTGGGATCTGTGAGGATCTCGAAATTATGCAAGTCACGGACTATCTACGAATTAAACCCTAAGCGCAACGGAACTAGAAGCGAGACTTCAAAGCATACTATTTTTTCATTTTTTCCGACTCATCGGATCATTTCCCATTCATATCGGACCGTCCAGGACTCGTCGCGGACTCGCCGGAACTCCCGAAACCAGCTGGACCGCCCCTGGACCGATTGGAGTGAGCTGGGCTCGTTCTGGGGTAAACTGGGCTCAATGGCGCGCGGTTGGGTCACTGTCCAGTCGCTGGGCCGCGCTAGAGGACGTCTGAGCCGCGTTGGGATTCACCGGGCCGCATGTTGGGCCGCTTGCCAGGCTGAAGAACGCGCAGGCTGAAATCGGGCTTCGCGGGCCGTGGTTGTGAAGGGCCGCGGGCAGCGTACGGGCTTCGCGGCCCGCGCGCTGAATCTGCCACTAGACGGGACTCACGCGTGTTTAGCTTTCTCGTCTGGGCCTCCACGTCACTGGGCTGCGCGCACAACGGGCCTCCTCGCGCGTTGGGTTGCCTGCGTGATGCTTCGGCCTCTTCTTGCAGGCTGCTGACGCCTGGTGGGCTGTGGTGTGCTAGGCTGCGAGCCCAACGGCTACGCGCGACAGCGGCTCGCCAGAGCTCGCCTTGTCGGAACGTTGCCGGAACTTGACCGGAGGGTCGCCGAAAGTTACCGATCGTCGTGGGATGGTCGCCGGATAATTCCAATACATCCGGTTGACTTAATTTTTGCTTTTCGTGAAGAGCGGACAACCCCCGCGAATTACAGATAATTTACGGGGTTGGATAAATATATATAAATCGCTCGACTACCTCAGATCTTCTGTTGTATGACCCGACATCTTCTCTGATCATCTTGTTATGCGATGAAATTTGAGATATCTCTACTGGGATTACTTGGAGAAAAAGAAGAGAACACAAGAGAGACAAAAAAAGCACAAAGGGGGCGGCGTGTTTTCTTCCAATCACATGTGGATTTCATTTGTTCCTAATCCCAAAAGATGTGATGTATTTATAGGCTACAACAGGGACCCTAAGAAAGTATTAAATTAGGCTTCTTCTTTTAAGATTAGACTATAGACCAAGCCTACCAAACCCAAATAGGAATAATATACCAATTCCACTAAAGTAGTATGATTGAATAAACTCCCAATTTAATTCCTGAATTATATTCGAGGCTCTAATAATAATTACTCAATTTATCTCCCCGTGTTTAAGATATAATGTCCATCAATTAATTTAATTACTAATAATTAAATTAATCGGCATCTAAAACCGAGACTAGTACCACTCATACCATTATTATTATGTCGGAATAAATTTCACTGGCCAGATTTAACATAATAATCCTTCATGAGCTTCTCTCGGGGACATCTTCTAACTATCGCACATGGTAGCCGTAAATATTCTAACAGCACATCGTACATACAATAATATTACCCAAAACAGTAAGTATATTGATCCATAAACTGAATCTCACCCAAGTGAATCAAA